GGTGCTTCATGTCCACACTACTCCCTGCAAAAACACTGGGACTTTGCAATGACCTTGCTCTACACTAGTGTCGCTGCCATTCCTTAACAAAACCACTGCAGTAAACTTCATTTAGAAGGTTTCCAGTATTTGGGTTAGGTAATTCATATGAACACTAAGAATGACCAAAGTTCTAACAGTAAATACTAATGACTAATAATGAAAAATATGAACTTCTCAGAAATACTACAGGATCTTTACTTCATGATTTTAAGGACTTCCTATCAGTTAAAGTTTGGAAGGATGTTTTGGTGACATCAAGTGATTACACCATCAGGCTTTCTGCAATTTCTACAAAGGTAGTAGCATCAGAGACTGACAGAAAGACCACAATGTACCAGAAGACCCTGACAAAGGGTTTTCCACAGTTTCTCTCCTTGACTGAAAGGGATCAAGAGGGGCAAAAGGACAATGATACAAAGTGAGTTCAAATGAACTAGTATGGTTCAAATGAACTACTACATCTTAACTTGAAAGGACAGCAGCATACTTCTCACAAATTTTAGTCACAATTTCTTGCTTTCTCAAGTGTATACTTTAGTAATTAAAAAAATTGGTTAAATTAAGCCAATCTAAGACTGCATTGTCACCAGATGGGATAGATCCACATTAAACACAGTTGTACCAGAAAGTACATATACTAGCAACCACGTCCAAATCGGGGCAAAGTTTTGTGGAACAGCTAGGCCAATGTAAAAGCTCCCTACTGCTTCAGGGGAGGTCTCACTCCCCACTGCCTTCCTCTGGCCTTGCTTCTGACAGTAGTTTCCTCTTCCTCCTCCCCACAAGCTTTAGCAGGTTTCACACCCCTTGCAACGCTGACTTAAGTCACTAACCTAGCAGAAAACCATGCAGTCTCTTCTGCCAGGGCAGCTAGCTCATTGAAGGATCCAACAATACAAGTCACGGTCACCAGAAAAACCCATGGCAGAGGCAGCCCAGGACAAACTGGCAGCAGAGGCAAAGGAGGGAAGAACAGGAACTCCAACTCCTGCCAGGGGTAAGCCATTCAAGCCTTCTTCTCCAACTTCCTCCACATCCCAGAACCACGCAATTGCTAAAGCTGACACAAAGAGGAGGCGTGAACACACAGCCAGAGACCAGAGGAAGAGCAGGACTATTTCCCTCAACAGCCAGAGCTCACCCAGCCGGTGCCAACCACAGAGCCACAGGCGCTCCAAACATGGGCGCAGCACAGGACAGGAGGGGCAGAGCAGTGACACATCACATCAAGGCACAGAGCTGTCTGCCCCTCCATCAGCTAGCAGCGTGCCCCCAGCCACGGGAAGTGGGCCTATGTGCGCAGACCAGTCACGCATCCAACAGAGAGGCAGAATCGTGTTGAGTAGATACCATGGTGCAATATATATATATATAACATAAGCAGAAATAAATTTAAAGCAATGACAGACAAGTGGTCACTCAAGTGGGGAAAAACAAAAGCCCTGGTCTGACAACGGGAAGTTAAGATTACGCTTGTTTAGTACTGGCACCCCAACAGTGGGCAGACTGAGTATGGACGCAAGCAGCAGACACTGTGCTTACGCTTCAGCTCTGAAGAACGGAGATGGACCACCGCGGAGTTTGTGCTCTTGAGCCTGAGCGGGCATTGCTGCGGCTGCTGAGCATTTCCTGCGCCTTACTGCCTGCCGCCCCTTCCCCCTCCCCAGCCCCACGGCGGGTGACCCCAGCTG